CAGCAGCGATTACATTCCTGCACTCTATGATACTGGCTCATATTGAGTATTGTATCACAAGTTGGTCCTATACGAGTCATGCTGCTATTGGGCCAATCGAAGTATGCTACAAAAGAGCATTGAAAATATTAGACAAGAAACCTTCATCATACCACCATTGTCAAATTTTAGATAAATATAAGTTTTTAAACTTTGCTAATTTTAAATTATTTAAATCAGCCTGTCTAATCTACAAGGTCATACATGGTCTGGCGCCTCCACCATTGAGTGATTTTATTAAACAAAAGTCTATCAGTGCCGGGTCTCGAGTGACTCGAGCCACTGTGAGAAGTGATTGTGAATTGCCATTTAGGCGGACCAGCTTTTCACAGAATGTCCTGTCATATCAGGGAGTGAGCTTCTGGAATAGTATTCCACTGTCTGTGAGGGAAAGCACAAGTCTCCCTACCTTTAGGAGTCATTTAAAAGTGTGGCTGAGGGACACACAAACATGTGATCATGTTTAGTTAATGATGATGGTTACAAAAGGGGATGCAATTATCAGTGTCATACGGGCTGTGCAATGGGAGTCTGTTGGGCATGGGTTATACAATGGGGGTTAGTGTAATGCGGGTCAGTGCAATATAGAATGGTGCAATATGGGTCAGTGCAATATTGGGTCTGTCAGGTTATGTGCAATATTGGGGTTTGTGCAATACAGTCGATGCTTTCCCGTTACTGTTTTTCTATATTGTCCTTTGTTGTCCACTCTTTTTATTGTTTGTTCTAACAAGTGATCACTGTACTCGTCCTTGTCTCTCTGTACATAGTCTGTATATAGTGTCTCTGTATGTTTTTACTAACCTATGCTTAACACCAACCTGCCAGGGGGTCTGCAGATGGAAATTAGCCTAAGGCTATAATCTGGCATATTTACATTTGTGAAAATGTTCATTAATATGTATTGTCCCTCCTTTTCAAATAAATAAATAAAAATAAAATAAATGTTAACTTTATGAAGAAAAACTTTTTCAAGTCCCAGGGAAGTGACGTAACAGTTGCTCATGGCAAAGGTCTCGTAACAGGGGCTCCTGTAGGAGGTCACGTGACAGGGGCTGAACAGGGAGGTCTGCGAGGTGGGGGGAGTCTGCAGCCAGACTCTCTTGGGTGGAGCAGCCCATGGATGAGAGACCATGGCCAGCACCGCCTTCGGCCTGTACAGCTCAGACAGGCTCTCATTCAACCATTTTAAAATAATAATCACATGCATAGTTTGAAGATAGTTTTATTTCTTAATATTATCTTTTGGGTGCTTTGGTCTGGCGGTTCTCCCCCTGGGCTGCTGAGCATTTCTTCTATGAGCTGCTAAACGCCTTTTTATTATCATTTTAAGGTCACTCCATTTTTTTTCACCTGTGGTATAAATTAGTAAATCCTAACTATTGGCCCAATATATCAACTGTTTGACATAATACAGCGTATATTTCTTCAAACATGAATAAACTCACCTATTCAGGAGTGCGTGTTACAGGCTATAGGGCCTGAAGTTTCTTTTGTGCCGTTTCCTCTCAATTGTCGTGTTGCTGCATATTTCTAGGCGTGGCTTTCATAAATATGTTTGTTTTTAGCCGCTGCATTTATCAACAGCCACTGTGCGTACGCTCAGTTCTGTGCGTATCTCGCACGTTCATAAATCCGGCGTTGGCTCGTGCGTATTTGGAATATACACCCAAAATATAGACCCTTTTCAGCGCAATTTTCATAAATGAGGGCCATTATGAGCAATATTTATATCTACAGCAGTCAACATGACAATTGATTTAAAAAAAAGACGTACTTTGTGAATACATGTAGGTGCAAAATTGCATTGTGAAAACCCCTTTAGTTTGTAAAATCAAGGTTAGGTGATTTTATAAGATCACCGCCTCACAACCTCTGGTGACCGGAGGGCCTGCATAAGCACAGTTGTTAGATATCTGGAACACCCACATAATGTGGCGTAAGCAATGACATGAATCAGAGAAATGTAACAAAACAAATACTCAACTTTGTGGTTTGTAGAGGAAGGTCTTTTATATGCATATAAGATGGACAGGAGTTCAAATTGAAGCGGCACATGCTGTCCGTTCAATCCGAGACTCTCTCAAATATTTACAAATGCTGCATATATAGCTTTGGTCGACCGGGAGGAGTTAAGAAATGTTCTCCGTAATTTCCTTTTTTGGATTCACAGTTCAACTTGCATTGACTTGTCCAGTTGGATGATGTATGTCGTCTGTCTTTCACGATCTGTCTCCATGCTTCTGTGTCAGCATTGCGATCCGATATTTTTGTGAATACCTCTGTGTCTGTAATTAGTTCCCTGACCCAGACGTGAACCAATATGTTCTGGAAAAACATACTTACAGTTAGTTATTCAGTAGAAGGACCAGGAGCGACCAGGGAACCAGGCTTGACAGGAGGACGAACAGATGACCGGCCACAAATAGCAGTATGTCTGTCAGAAATATCACGTTGTTTGTGGTCTGAGTGCTTTTCACATTGTCGTTTTTTTTGGGGGGGGGTTCAGATGCAGTTGTAATGAACAGCACATGCAAACATTTATTATCTCAAATACAGACTTTGATGGTTTGGTCATCACAGGTGATTGAGGCGACAGTAGCTCATTTGGTAGAGCATTGGCCTTTGGGCCTGAAGGTTGTGGATTTGAGCCCACCACGAGGCCTACGTACTTCACGACTCCCACTGATGTCTGCTGTTAATGTGTCATTGGGCACGACACTTAACCCCACCGCCTGAAGCCCCCACTGAAAGATAAAGGCTCCTGCAGAAGGATCAGTGGTGGTGTATGTGTGCATCTCTGACTGCCACCCCCCCCAACCCAGAAATGGATTAAGGGGAAGAAAATGGGGGTGATATTAATATACATGTGGATAAAGTCTAAGACATATAAGAGGATTTTACTTTTTTTTTTTTTTGAAAAGAACCGCCTTCTCCACTTCTTGAACAAAACTCTCACCACTTATCACCAGAATGATTGACATTTGGTATAGACCAATAGTCTTGATGGTACACCCGGAAGTAGAAAATCCTCCTATATACTTTTCTTGACAGAAATGCAAATAAAAGCTTGAAACCTTTGGTCCTAACCTATCCTAAATCTAACTCACTTAGAACCTGTAGATGGGAATACTGTCCAAGAGATAATCTCCAGTCTGAGCTCCTTCACATGCGGCCTGGATGTACTAGATTGCGGCCTGGACTCACTAGATTTCTAAAGTCTGTTCTGAACAGTCTTTTACCTTCTCTCACACAGAAAGTAAACATGTACCTTCATTCTGGAACATTCCCAAAGGCCATGAAAACAGCAGTCATCAGGTCTCTTCCAAAAAAGAGCAGCCTGGATACTCTGTACTTAACCACTGTCATCTCAAATCCGCCATTTATGGGGAAAGTCCTTAAAAACGTTGTCTACCAACAGCTTACCAAATGTATTATTATCAGCAGCTCATTTTACATGTTCCAGTCTGGCTTTAGACCCCACCACAGCACTGAGACTGCTCTAATCAAGGTAACAAACAATAGATAGAAGTGAGTGCAGTTTTTAACACTGCCAAAGAGATCCTCTTACAGAGACTAGAGGACTGAATTTGCACCACCCTAAGTTGGTTAAAGTCTTACCTTGAAGACAGGAAGTACTTTGTGGAGATTGGAAACTATGTCTCAAATCATATGATATATATGGTATGATATATATTAAAATAATAAATAATCACAGTACATTAGTAAATATAAAAATATAAAACATACAATATCAGAGAGGTCAGAGGTCAGAGAGGAGGCCTGTCTCACATCTTCAGGAAGATTGTTCCAGATTTTTGCGGCATGAATCTGAAAAGCAGCCTCCCCATGTTTAGTTCTGACTCTGGGCACTAACAGGAGTCTGTTTTAAAGTCTATTCTCTGAGCCACAGGAAGCCAGTGCAGAGACCTGAGGACTGGACTAATATGGTCGTACTTCCTGGTTCTAGTCAGGACTCGAGCTGCTGCATTTTGAATGTACTACAGCTGTTTTACAGCCTGTTTGGACAGACCTGTGAGCAGGCCATTGCAGTAGTCTAACCTACTGGAGACAAATGCATGGATAAGAATCCTCAAGTCTGCTTTAGACACTATGTTTTTGATCCTGGCAATGTTTTTTAGATGGTAAAAAGCTGCTGATGTTACTGATTTAATGTGGCTGTAAAAATTTAAGTTTGAGTCCAGTATTACTTCTAGATTTCTGACTTTGTTTGAAGGTTTCAGAGAGAGAGACTGTAGGTGACAGATGACGCTCTCTCTTTGTTTCTGGGGACCAAAGACAATCATTTCAGTTTTGTCTGCGTTTAGCTGAAGGAAGTTGTTTTGCATCCACTCACTGATCTGTTGGATACAGTGAAGGAGTGAGTCCACTGGTCCACGTTCTCCTGCAGTCATTGAGACATCGATCAGAGTGTCGTCTGCATAGACAAACACAGGGTTGTTTCAGATTTGTGCAGCTAAAATCTGGAACAGTCATTCTGAAAAGTGAAAAACAGTTTAGCCGTGCATACAACTGATGTGTTAAATGTTTCTTCTCTTGTTTTGTTAGCTCACTAAAAGCTCACTACCTTTTTGGGGGATTTCTTTAGAGTTCCATTTTATTTAATGGGTGGTTTCAGAATTCTGGGAGTCCTCGTGTTAAGAGTTAGAACACATAACATCCCAAAAGACTACTTGGATAAGACTACAAAAACTATAAGAAAAAAATCTACTAGAAAAAAAACAAACCAGGAGATCTGCGGTCCTTTGGCGTTGAAAACACATCATGCATACCTTACCTTGTAAAGTGTTGTCCCTTCAACTGTGATTTATTCTGGAGTATGCAGTAATTATCATGAGGGCATATTGCAGACTTTGGAGACCCCTAGAGAGAAGATATCTAATTTCCAAAGGATTTGTCACTCACCATGCAGTATGTTGACTAAATGTGTGCCTGCGCAGGGGCGGCAGTGGGAGACAGAAGGATTCTGTCGTTGGTCATTGATCCCATCACTCACGCTGAAGATGTGCGCGCTCTGCGCAAACAGCGTCACTCTCGAGGTGAGAGGCGCACTCCTCTCAGGTCTCCTCTTGTCTCCGCCTCAGAGCAGCGCACACGCAGCGGTCGGACACCAGAGCAGCGGACCTAGGATGGACAGTGAGTGCAACGACTGCTTGTCCTCTGGACTTGTGGCCAACAGCACTGTGGACTTACACCCGAAACTGAACGACGATGAAGAACTTCTCAGATATATTTGGAAAGAATATCTCCATCCAAAACAGTATGAATGGGTGCTCATTGTGGCGTACATAATAGTTTTCTTCGTGTCACTCATTGGAAACTCTCTTGGTAAGTAACTTTATCATGAACTCCCCTGAAAGTGATGCGTAAAACATACATTGCACACCCGTCAGGTTGTATGAGATATTTGATGTAATTTATCATTGCAAGTTTGTTCCTTTTCATCTATTCATAATCTTTCCGGGACTATTTTATAATTTAATGAACTAACTGAAAACACTTCAATCGGGAAGGTAAATGTGTACAGGTGTTTCGATATGAGAGCGGTGGTTATAGTCAGGATGTCAATCGGGAAAGTGGACCTATACGTAATTATCAATAACATCTTGCTCTGTCTTTATCAAACACATATAAACTGGGACAGATCCCCGTGGACGGAACAAAGACGCTGTGCGTCAATCTTAGAGACCTTTCATATACCTTTGATAATTGACATGTAAATTATATTCTTCTTAGTTTTATTTGACACTATTATTGGTGAGTTTTCGATCGATTTTCTCATGAGTTAGGTAGTCTACATCCACTCGAGATGGTACACTGCACACAGACTAATTGGCTGAAACAACCATATCTGCAATATATAGTGTCATAACATCACGAAACACTATAAGAAGATATTTTTTTCAGGGGAAGTCAACTCTCCAGGGCTTTTCATTGTTCACTCAGTCATTTGTATGCACGAGTTCTTCTTTCTGCAATTGTTGTGCATGTAGCGCATCACTACAAAGACACTCTGTTTCAGTATTTTCATAAATGGACTCATTATTGCTCAAGGTCCTGGGTATGTCGCTGGCCCAGTTGAGGCACACCGTTTTAATTGTCTCCAATGAGTTTAAGGAGACGCTTTTTTCAGATATGTTTTTGTTTGGTGCAATTGTTTTCAGCAATACAGTTGACAGGCGCAGGAAGGGGCGGCATAAAAAGGCACAGATAAACATCACATTCTTATTATCCCTGTCGGCAGCGTGCAGGGAATCAGCAGGTTTTCTTGTTTGTCCTGTCTTTACTAATTCATTGCATTGATTTAATTGAGTACAATAAAGCAGATCAAAGAGTCTTCCACACTTTGAACTGTAGGTGGACCACCTGCAGCTGTGAGCTAACAACAGGCCATGCATTAGGAATACAGCAATATACAGTGCTGAACTATTGCATATTGACCAAATGGAATTGTTCTCAATACTCAGTTTGTTCATGATGAAAAACTAGAATTATAAATTAAGGACAAGGGCAATATGGTGGTACTGTAAATGGTTGACACTCGCACTTCTCAGCTAGGTTTGAATCCCAGTTGGAACAGGGCCTTTCTGAGTGGAGTTTGCATTCTCTCCCTGTGCCTGTGAATAGGTTTCTGTCGGATGTGCCCGTTTATACCATTAGAGACATGTACAATAGATAAAATCATCCAGCTACAGTTAACCAAGACCAGACCAAGGTGAGACCAAGCTGCAGCATCAACATCTTGAGATGGGTCCCCAGGCACTGTACGGCCTGGGGTCTGACTGAGGGTCTAGTATACTATAGTGGATGCAGTGAATTTACAGAATGGGTCGAATAAAAAGGTCAAATTGCCACAGGGATAAATACATTATGTCTTAATCTTTAACCTTTATTGGGAAAATTGTGTCAGAGATTGTCCAACAGTTTCAGATTATGTGCCAAAGCAATGCGAAATTAAACCTCAAAGAAAAATTGAACTTAAATAAAGCTGTGAATGACTCATTTTGATTTGAAAAGGATACTGTGGCAAGTGCCACCATTTCAGATCTCACCTGGTTAGTCCACTGAATTGTGGCTCTGGTGAAAACTGCTGTTTTGTCCTGGTGGGTGTGGATCCGTGTGTGGGTGTATTCTTTATTCAAATAAACAATAAGCTAATTAAGACATATTGATGGCCAGAGCAGCTCTTTTCTGTCGGTGATGTTTTAACACCTTCAGATCATCCTCTCGTCCTCTGATGAACAAGGCCACTGAACCACTGATGACTTCACTGAATATAGTTAGAATTATACAATATAGAATGGTTCTTTATTATCTCCCACAAAAGAGGTTTGTCTCGGGACAGGGAGCACACTTTCACAACACATTCCAAACATACAGTCACCATTTCAAAGAAGGTAAAATAAACATGAGGGCAAAATCTGGGTTTTTTAGTGATCATTAAAGGACAGACATAAAACTGTGGGATTAAGATAATTGTTGCTGGTAGTGTGAGAAAAATAAACTTTTTTAGAATAAATCTTTAATTTTGTGAAGGATTGTGTTAGTGCAGACTCACACAGTAACATTCTTTATAGTGGATGGATTTGATGTTGATGATGCTTGTGGATGCAAATGCAATCATTAAGATGTATTCATTACGTGCTGTTGTATTTGTTTTGTTAGTAATCACAGGCCTTCACATGTGTACAATACAGGTGACCATCTTATTCATCAGGCTATTTGTCTGCTAAAATTGCCATTCGATTTGGTATTGTGTATAGCTGTCGAATTCCAGGTTGTTTTGGCAAGGTATAATTTTATCTCAATGTCTGAAAAAAAGCATCAAAAGCCAGGTGTGCACTGCCCAAGGTCAGATGTGGCCACAGTCTAGTATTTAGCATTACAGTTTTGTTTTCAAAATGAATAAGACTAACATATCCACTCCGAAGTAACTATTATTTGGATGATTGATTATTCCTTGGAATGTGGGATTGCATTTGTGGGACTGCATTTTTATCTATAGTGAGGTCACTGAAGCACATACAAATACATGATATTTCCAGACTTTTAATCTTTATAATCAATTATAAGTTATGTTCATGTAGGTTTCTACCAAGTGCTCTAGGTAAACAATAAAAACATGTTTATTGGAATGGTTGGTGCTGTTTGGGAGGTTTGGTGCACCACTTGTGCAGCAGTACCATTCCTGGCGTCACCGTGTGTGAGGTGCATGGGAAATACACAAACTTGTAAAGCACTCTGTGAAATGCACTGTATAAAAAAGGTTTGCATTTTTTCTTCCTTATCAATATTTTTTTTGTATTCCAGATATTATTTATTACTTATTCCAGATAATGATACCAAAAACAAAAAGACAAAAAATACCTAATTTTGACCACACTGTCTTTATGAATTAAAAGTCCTTCTTCCAAAAACGTGACTGAAGTAAATTACAAGTCTCCTCAAACAAATCACACCACTTTTCTACATAGGACTCACACACACAACAAATTGCAATGACTAAAACAACCCAGTAGGTGGCATAAAGAACACAGTCATTTTGATCGAGAGATTCGAGATCCTTCATTAATGCCACAGTGGGAGAATTTCAGTGTTGCATCACCAGTTACAAAAGCAAGAGCACAAAAACACAAAATAAGATGAGTGAATATTAAGTAAAGCACAACTCTATACTTGAGACATCTTTTTATTTTTCTTCATGCTACCAGCTCAAAGAAGTGAGTGAAGTGTGTCCGAAATGTGAGTGGAGGGATCCCTCAAGGGTTGCCTCACAGGTGTAGTGTGTGGCAGACAGGGAGAGGGAGGAAGGACACAACTGAGAAAGAACATGTTTCTAGACTTGTAAAGGGATGCCTCGGGATTCCCGTCAGAACAGCTGGAAGAAGTGTGAGGAGAAAGAAGAGTACCTGCAGTCACATGGCTACTGTATTCCCCAGAGCGTGGTAGAAAAGAGAGAAAGAGATGGGTGGAAGGTGAAGGTCACAAGAATGTAGGTACATTTACTGAACTGAACTATTTAACCAAACAAACCATATATATACAGTATATATATAAAACAAATCTCACCTTTCGCCCTTCGCGGGTGGTTATCCCTCTAAGCTCGGGTCCTCTACCAGAGGCCTGGGAGCTTGAGGGTTCTGCGCAGTATCTTTGCTGTTCCTAGCACTGCACATTTCTGGACCGAGATGTCCGAGGTTGTTCCAGGGATCCGCTGTAACCACTCTTCTAGCTTTGGGGTCACTGCCCCGAGTGCACCGATCACCACGGGCACTACTGTCACCTTTACCCTCCAGGCCCTCTCCAGCTCCTCTCTGAGACCTTGGTATTTCTCAACCTTTTCATGTTCCTTTTTCCGGATGTTACCATTGCTTGGAATTGCCACGTCCACCATATATATATATATATATTTTTTTGAGCTGTAGTTGCAGCTCAAAACAAGCTACAAACTGCCAGACAGCGGCTCATTCCGTTCTAGTCTAAACTGGCCTGACAAAGCTTTTGAATCTTATGAAGAGAAATTAACCTTTAATCTATACAACATTTTAAATTAAGGTTTAATGTTAAATTTTAATCTAAGATGATGTCAGAAAATGACAATTGAATAAAACATATACTGGCAAAAACATGCTGCATAAGAACTGCCGCCAAGGACCAAAGGGCTATTTTGAGATTACTATTTTACTTTGTTGTTTTGCTTAAAATATCCTCCATCTGTCACCAGTTTCTTGTTTTGCAAATTTATTTAAAATATACATGTATGTATTAAAAATATAAAGTAATTGATAGTCTATTATAATATTTTTTTATATGATTAGTAAATGAAAAAAGCAGTGGTGCTTCACAGCAGGAGTAGCCTGGGCTTAGCCATCCGTAATATCCGGTCAATTATTATTTTCCTTCATGCATGTCTGGGTCTGATCCTAGTGGCTGCGGTTACCTCGGTTGTATCCCGCAGGGGAGGGGGTTGTTGTAAGTAGATGTCGGTGAAGTCAAGAGTTTGCGCCGAATTTGCTGGTTGTTGTAATCCATTCAGGTTTAGCTCCAAATATCAAGCAATTGAAACCGGAGTAAGAGGAAAGTTTAGCAAGTTTCACTGCTGGCAAAGATGTTGTGGCAAAGATCTCT